ATAGAGGGAATCTAATGGATTGTGGAAGACTGGACAGCGTACAAAAGGATAAGGTTGGGACGCGAAACAAAGAAGTGAGGGGTGACCACCGTGTTGCATTCAAAGGCCCAATTAATGCTCTCGAATTATCCATTCTCTTATTCCAAATCGGGAGTGTTTTTTTGCCGAAAAATGGTACAAACAAAATAAAGTGTATACCGAATAAAGGAGAGCTCCATCACAAGTGGAACTCGAGAGCGACAACTATGGTGCGTCGAGGACAATAAAACATGGATATAGTACGGGACAGAACATGTGTGGAAAACAGTGAACAGATCATATTCATGCCCATTCCCACCCGCATCCCCGATTTCTGCAAAATCAGTTCGGCGTTCTGCACTGAACGGTGTGCAGAACATAAAGGCACAAAATGTGGTACTTTTACTTGCCTAAATTATCGTTGGTCAATCGGGTTCGTTCGGTTTGACCCCTATAGTTGCGTAACTTTTGCAGCCGCGTCTCCTGTTCGTGCGTCAATTCCGACCCGGTAGATGGAACCTGAGATAAGAGACAAGAGTGCATTTGCGCGCATTAAGGTAAATAAAGTGCACGGATTGAGAAACCGGAAGAAAGATTGTTTGCAAGTTAATGTCAAAAGTATTGTAATGCATCCATCCATTCATCCGTGTGTGTGTCTGTGTGTGCGCGTGTGTGTGTATGCACGCAAACACCATCATTCATTCATTCAACATGTGGTTTGCATGTGCGTCTGTGCCCGCGCAACATAGCAAATGCGTCGGATATTCAGTAAAGAACGCCACATAAGATGCGGGTGACTGCGGAAGTATTGCATGCGACGAAGAAGTGAAAAGTGAAAATCGATAATGTGTCAGAGCATGGAGTGACGCACATTATCAGCGCAAACCATACTTCTCGCGTCTCTAACCTGTATTTTCATAAAATCAAATTACACCCAAACAAAAGCTGAAAAGTGCATTCGAACCATCCGACTTGCGGACAACAGTATTTTTATGATTTATTTTTTGATTAAGCGATAAGATCGCCATGAAGGCTTGATATGCAGACTGACTAAATAAATTATCTCTTCACTTTGTGGCAACTGAGTGAACAACGTTCCAAATTCTAAATCCGATTCATTTGGTACGAAAAGGAGACGACGCTTAGGTGTTATCTTATTGTTCATGCGACGATTAGTAGAAGCACCAAAGTGCATTATGCAATTATGAGAACGAGTAACTGGACTCTCCGCTACTTTCAGTGATGAATGAAGTTAGATGCCATTAGGATAGGTATGGTTTGAGAATAGCTTTACACTCGGGAAAGCTAACACCATTGCGTATCCAGTGAAACGTGGACAAATTATATTAGACATCACTTGCAAAAAGACTGTGTTTTGAATGGAATACATGCCATCAAATCTTGATTCTACAAACATCACTTAGGCGATATCAACGTAGAAGGGGAGAAGTGCTCCTACTTATCTATCGACTGGATCGTAAATCAGTAGGGTAACTAAGTAAATCTGAGCTCCCGTCAACAATTATGCTCAAAATGTTGTGCTCGTGCTGATTAGTTTTCAACACATGATATGTTAACAAAAAAGTTTCGGAGGTAAGGTTGAGGGTGCGTGAGGCAGGAACTTCAATGTACACCGTGTAATACCAATTATAACCAAACTCCGGAAGCTTCAGTGTGCTTGAGGGGTGGGTGTCTCAGGTCGTGATTGGACACCACTTCCTTACACCTCACGAAATGCTCCTATGTGACCAAACGTATCAAATAGCCTCTGCTAAGGAAGCTCTACTCACTGTCTTCCCGTTGCGGGTATGTCCCCACCAAAGTGAAAAGACGAAAAGCCAACATCCAGCGCTATAACCGGATTGGCGAACCATTGGCAGTTCACCTAGGGGAGTAGGCTAAAAGCCCTGATTCCAAACCAACCAAAAAGAGGCGTAGGAACCACAAACACCTTGGTTGTGGCAGTGGTTATCGGTTTAATTGGACACCTCGGACGTTTGACCCCGTCCAAAAGGCGCATCATCCAATGAACTGGACACCGACCCCCAATGGACTACGGACTTTGAGATCCGTCCGTTGTCTTGCAGGTCTGGCTTTCTAACCCAAGCCTTCGGGTGGGAACCCCTAGGTTATCTTCCTTCCCCGTTGAAGGCAACCGGGAAGTAACATGTCCACACAACCCATGAACACATTCTACAGGTTTTCTGTTCATATGTTGTGGCACATTTGCCAGTTGTGTCACGGATTACGTGTTGAAATAATAAATGATAATAATAACCACTTAGTAAATCCTAGTACCAAAACGAACAGATTGCACCTTTGCGATGGCTTGTGTGCCTGGGATCAAGCGAGCTTTACAGGGTGGATTTTATCAAGCTTAAAGATTTTAGCATACCTGAAAAGTTCTAAGGTAAAAGTCAGATAAAGTCCCGTTTTCTGGTCCTCCAAGTTGGGGATTCGATTTGAATTGGTGTCTCAGTGAGTAAAGTGATGGAGGAGTAACTGATACAAGTTGATGGGCCTCTATTCCGACGTACGTGTCTAGTTATCAGTTTCTTGTCAGAACGAAAGGCTTTCGTTGAGCACCCCAATCGTTCTCCTGTTTAGTGGCCGAACACCCTAGTAGTACCTATCCGTAGAGCTCTAATAAATGCACAAACCGGAAATAACTTCATAATGCTTCGATTTTCGAGCAGGACCGCGTTAGTCGTGAGGTGGGTAGCAATAAGTGGACTACTGTTCATACATACCCAGCTTTGTTTATTCCCAAATCCATCCCTTTGCTCCACTGTAAGATCTGTAATATCCTCTTTTATTACTTGTGAAAGGCCAATGCCAAATAGCATTCTAAACGGTATACACTGCGAATTATGAAACCTCATCAACCTCTGAGGTCTCTCATTCAAGTGCATCAACACGTTTGTCTGGTGCGTACAATGGATTCCCTAGCGGTTGATTTTACCGTACATCGGAGACCAACTCAGCATAAGTTAATTCAGTGCACCGTTTCTGTTTGCAAGATATTTCCTTCGCACACCCGGAGACGATGACGCTCGCTCACTAGATCAGCGTGGAAATATCATGCTGAACCACAAAGCTGAACTCTATGAATAGATCGGATTTCTGTTCGTAGTCGCTTATGAGCAATGAGGTGTTTTTTATTATTTCCGCACATGAACCACCCAACTGCATTCCCAATGCATGATAGGGTGACTTTTACGACAAACTTCCCGATCTCGTGCAAATGGGCTACAGCTCTTAAATAATTGTGCTGACAAGCAATTTCAACGTGCAGATTGGAGAACTGAGTACTTTCTAAGCCTGCTCAGGAAGTCATTTAACTCTACCAGTCCAGCAAACGGGTAATAACGATCGACTACTTCAGTTCTGCGCAGAAAGTTGGTGATTCTTATCTAGCACCAACTTTTGTCACGCCTCTCAACGGAAGATGACGGGGTATTTCACTTCAACAGGAAAATAAACCCAGGATGACTATATGGCAGTTGTAAGTTATCACTGGCGAGGATCACGATAAAAATTCAGGCATTATGGAACTACCTGCTTTCAGTTCCATCACGCATCATTTCTGATGCACTTTACGCTTCGACTCATCGGCTATCGGCGAAAATCACACTTGGTTTAGCTCAGCATCAGCTGCATAGCCCGGCTGTTTGCATTCATCGCGAGGAACGGCTTAGACATAAGACAGGTGTACCACTAAGTGGTGGAGTAAATCAATAGTGGGATCAGATTGGACATGAAATGTACTCGGCAGCAAACACTCCCCAGGGATGCAAATCCGAAGTTGATCCAAAACACTTTAACCTTCAGAAATTAGAAGTCTTGATGGAACAAACTCGAAAGATTTCAATTTGTCAGGAGCAAAATGGAAACAGGCGAATATGAAGGCGCCAACTAAGGAACTCAACCAATTAGGCTTCCTGAATGAGGACCTCGAGAGTAGTTTAGTTGATGGCCAGAGACAGCAAATGACAGTGACGGTCGAGCATCTCCTCAATCTCTCTGAAACCTTGGTTTATCTAATTTCCCAACGCTTATATTGCCATTAATTTCTACAGTTCAATCGTCCCAGTACTTCTTCATCAAAATGGGCATCGAAAGACAACAACCAAATACCGCACAAAAGTACAAGATTGATGAATTGTAAAATTAAACTTAAAGCTGAGTATCCAAACTAAGGAGCAGTGGCTTGATCGCTGGGCCGAGTATTTCAGCGAACAGTTCAGCTGACTTGATGCTAGTGCAGTTTTATCCCGGGGGGGGGGGGGGGGGGAGATGCATCTGAAGCTCGGTAAGCGGTAGCAGGTGAGCTCCTTATAGAACTAGACGTACGCTGTTGCATTTATTCACTAAAGAAGGTAAAGACACCCCAATCTGACGGGCTGCATCTCAGTATTTTAAGATAGGGAGTGATTCTCATGTCAGCTCTATTTCTGGTTAACTACCCAACATTTGGGACGAAACACTGATCGTTCCCATCTGCAATAACGGATCATACAACGACAGCACTCAACTGTGCAGAGACTAAAGGTACACCCCGGAATAAAAAACGCTGAGTGACATTGCAAATGCCACTTTCTCAAGCTTGTTCGTGAATTTATCCGTAAAGCAGATTTATCACTACACATGTAGTAGTGAATGTCTTAAAGTGGAAAAAGTGCACTCTGTCTGATTAGGAGAATCGATGCTACTTCCACAACAACATTTGTTTAGCGGTTAGTGTAGATAGCATGTGCGAGAAAAAAGGAAAGGACACAAAAGCGTGTGAAACTGTTCTACAAAATGGTATGAGCGCGAGACAACGAAGAACAGAACAATCTACAGTGAGAATGGACTGGAGTAAATTAACATTACCGAAGTGACCAAACGAATTTGATCGTCACGATGGGAAACTGAAGACCCGTATGAAGGACTACCAGCTAAATCGTTATTTTGGTTTTGTGGATGAACCTAGTGAAATGGGATTCGGTAGAAGATGTTCGTCATTTGGAGATAGAGGACCAAAGAAGATATATATATATATATATATATATATATATATATATATATATCACGCGTCTGAAGCCAGACTGTGTCAAACAAATCATGGTACAATAATCTTTATAAAAAAGATAAAGTCTATGATTTGCATGAGGGTCGAATACTGCCAGGTCGCCCGGGTCAAGGCAGGCTGTCATCATGTTGAACAAGGATTAGGATTCAGGAATAAGTGAAATCAATCCAACATCGGCCCTTCAGGTGCGACGTGAATGATGCAAGAGAGAAAGTTATTCACCAAACTAACAACTCTGCTTGTTAAGATACCATGATTTCACAGTTTTAACAACTGAAACGCATACCAAACATGTTGCTGCAAAACACGTTAATACTAAGAAACCTTTTTTTCCAGACAATCGCTTATTATGAAGCTCTTGGGTTTGTCTATTACGGGAACCGGTTATCTGAGCGCAATTTGCACAAGGCATAAACAGCTTCGCAACACGTTTGAATAATCTCCTAGGGCGGTACTATCTTACCTTATCTGAGCTTTCTCTGCCGGCCTGCGTTGCTCGAAGGTATGCCAGACGTTCTTCACGGGATTGAATTTGATGCGCTTGTCGGGACAGTTGTTGTCGTTGGCGCTCCGCGATGGATCGCAGTTCGCTTACGGTCATTTCAGACCCAGTATCTGAAGGAACAGCAAATCGATCGGGTGAATTGCGTGGAGGAGGTTGGCTGGAATAAGACTGGGCACGTTTTGAAGCGGCAGTACTACTGCCACTGCTGCTGCTTACCCCTTCCACGACACACGTGGAAGGTACCGTACCGTTTGCTGGGGCTTGTACGACAGTGGCTTGGCGAACGTAACCATGATGTGGATTGTACAGGTTGACAGCTTGCGTACCCGATGCAGCGGTGGCCACCCGTGTTGATTCACCAGTGGCGGTAGGCCGTGGACTTCGACGAGGACTGCTAGGAGTTGTCAGGTCACTACTACCACCGGAATTCTGCTGGGAAAAGAGAAAAGCAACGGTGAAAAGTAGTAACTTAAACAAAGCGGAAAACCATATTCGTCAGTATGATACAGATACAGAAGTTTATTTTGTCAGTGTTTTAACAAGCTGAGGGAATGCACTGAAAAAGGGCAAGAACAATGTAAACTGTTTTGACTTTTGTAAACGCGATATATCTACGGTGTCACCAAGATATTCTACTCCTTGCGAATGACTGGATATATACCGCAAGAGGCTGACGATTTGGTGCAGAGATATAGCCATCAGGTGGCGAACAAACGCAGACAATAGACAGTTGAATAAGCAGAACTGAAGTGGTCCAATGGCAAAGTGCAAAGTATGGGTTAAGAGAATAAGACAATCGGGGTCGAGCCGTAAGGTAAGTGTTTCATCTGCATGTGTTAGATGACCTATTGGTTGACCACCTGGAAATGCTGAGTTTGAATCCCGTCACCGACGTCCATCATCCCCACTTCTGGATTTCTCCAAGCAACCTTTGTATGAAAGCGACTGGGTTCCTGAGGGCTGACTGTACACCTAAATACTCAATAAACAAAAAAATTAGTAAAAATATTTTTTCATTATTATTAGTATATTTATAAAGTACATCACTGGACAGGTTTGCCTCATTGGTAATGTCCGACAAGGAAGGCAGCAGTTGTAGGATTATCAAGATTGTTTGGATTATGGACTGATGTGAAGAAACGAAACATTGACGAGTGTACTTGGGCAATTAGTGTGTTGAATTTTCTGAATGGAATTCCGGGGATCGGCCTAATCAATAGTTAAAGACATTCAGTGATATGGCCGAGTGTTACAAACACAATTACACTTCTCACACTATACACTGTACTTAGTAAATATTATTCATTCGTAAACCAAAGAAGTGGAAGAACGACAGTCACCAAAACCGGGAAAGGCTCAGATGCAAGCTGTTCAAAATCAAACTAAATCGGGAGGAAAATCAGGAGGTATCTGTCGATGCTAAGTACCACAGAATAACCACATGATTCATAAGTACACTTTCCTAGTTCCGGCAATGACTATCGGCTTGATTAAGCATCAGTCTATTGGGCACCTTTAACATTTGATTGCGTCCAAAAGATGTATGATTTAATGAACTGAACACAAAAACGGATTGTGGACACTAAGTGTCATCCTGCTACCTTGTAAGTCTGAGTTTTGAGTTTCAGTGAGGCAATCTCAAGGTTAAATTTTCTCGGACCGAGAAATTGGAGCATAACATATACTGTTACGTACTAAACGATTGGTTTGTATTGAATATGAGTACTATTTCGACCCGTCGAAATTTACACCAACGCAACAGGACACAGGTGCAATCCACAGGGAAATGAAAGCACAGAAGCAACAATAAAAGCAAATACCATTTTATCAACTTCCTACGTTCAGAATTTCATGACATAAAAAGCGTTCTGAAACGCTATTAGCAAAAACAGGGCAAAGGTTCAAAATGTGTCAAGACATCCAAGTAAAATTGCAGGATAATAAACTTCACAAGCAACCGAAGGCTGCATCGCGGAAAAAGTGAACCTATTCGGACAGAATCGACCAACAAAGTCAATAGTTCCGACAGGTTCGGTCGGGGTCTCGGTCAACTACACCGAGAAACGAAACAGGATGCAACCGGGGTGAACAGAGATGCCTGTGGGTGCGTGTGCGGCGGGGGGGGGGGTGGTGTAAGCTACCGTATCTTGATCATCAGGTCAAGAACAAAGACGTAAGCATTAGTCACGCCCGGGTTATTTGACAAGACGAGATTGGCCGCATTTCGTGTGCAAGTGAGACAATCGGTGAGACAATGGGTGAGAGCATGAATTTCTAATCTAAACAGCCGAATGAAAACGTATGATTTAACAATGGTCGATAAAGGACGAGTTTAGAAAAACCAGGTAAGAGTAATGGAGACCGTCACTTAAGCAACCGTTGATTACGCCGAGATTTATCAGTGTTATCAATATAGCGTGAATATGAGTTCGAAGTTGACTAACCCGATATACAAAGTCTTAAGCAAAGTTATTACATCCATTGACCACGCAATTTCGGGCGACTTTTGTGGTCGTTGTCTTATGACTTCCCATTTAGATAAAGGAGTAGGGGAAGACTGGAATGCTCAGTTCAGTGTCACGATGGAAATAGAGAATCCATGAAGGTTATTGGTACAAAGAAATTGGGATGATGCACGAGTGCCACGGTTTAGGACATTCAGCCATACCGCCATACCGCCCAGTGCCTTTGACCAATGATTCTGACGTTCCCATCCGGGATGTCTAAAGCGACCTATATCAGCTATTCTCCTGGTCAGTGTTTTTATAACCTCGCACCAGGTCTGAGTATTACCACTCTCTACGTTTTTCCATCCATCACCTGCCCGGTAAACAGCACACACCAAGGCAACCTATTTATTGGCATGTACAACACATGCTCAAACAAACGCAGTTCATGGTGGTCGACCACTAGCTTCAGTGGACAACCGCGGTTACCCAAAAACTCTACCTCAAAATTGCTTGTCCGGTTTCCCTGCCAAACTGGTACGATGCAGCATAGACGGTGATGCTTGAATACCGAACAGCTATCGTAATGATGTTTCCCTAATGGTCAAGTTTCAACAATCGTATACACTCAATCCGAGTCTGATTAATAACAGTGTTGAGACAACATTAAAAACTCATCCATTTGTTCTTCTACTTTTGGGCGAATCTCCCTTATTTGATGATCGATCAACTTAATCGAGGAGTCAAAGGGGAATCTTGATGAAAAATGTCATCCCCAGAACCACTGTCTTTTTCTTTCTTTGGTCGTTTTAAAACCAAGTGCTACACATAGGGTAACAGGGTGATGACGATGGCCTTATCCAGCGGCTAGTCAGATTCGCACAAGTCACTGTGTTTTACGGAGATTGGTGGTGTTCATGAAGAGGTCTCTTGCCGAATGAATATCCGACAGGACCTCGGATATTGTCGCTGATAGTCCGTGGCGGCTTGTTCAGTGAAGCGATAGCGACCTAATCACCATTAACCCCCCAATCGGTCGTTATCCTATCCGCGACCTGGAAACGTGCCCGGTTGTGTACAGTTTTGCTGATCCTAGACTTGAAGTAGCTTATCACCGAGAGTGGCCGTCACTAGAGCAGGCCCTTCAGTCTATGTAAATGCGCTATCTTCCGCTTGAATCCGTTGTCAACATTCTAATCATCATTCTGGTATTTTCTCCAATTGGGCAACCAAAACCGGTGCACGAAAGTGCATGATTAATGGTTGTAAGAACTGAACTGAGCGCAGGCCCCATGCAATAAACAATTTCATATTCAAATTTTTAATCTGGATCCGGAATCGACGCGAACTAACATTACTCGGGCCGTTAGATAGGCTACAAATTAGAGTGATATACTCCTTTTATTGATCGCAAGTCCCAGTATACCACCAAGCGCATTAAAACGACCTATGCAAATAATTGCGATCGGAAGTTTCATTATGTGCAGCAGAATAACGTAAAATGCATGCAATTTGACAAATGATAAAATACAACCCTGCTGTAAGTAAACAGGAAAAAACGGTTTGAGCACCAGTAAATTATACGCTTGAGTTCAAGTCTGAGAGAGAGAGAGAGAGTGGGGAGATAAGAAACAACAATGCAGTTAACGTAACCACAAATTCAAGCATTCAATTTTCTGTGAGTTGGCAATGCGATCGATGCCTAGGTATTGAAGGGCGTTGCCCATGATTAGTCATGGCAAACAGACAGGTTAAACTCTCGGGGCTGGACGGTCCTGTCACAACGCAAAGCCCCATAGCTTAAACCCGCAGGTGATGCTTTGTTGATGGTCACGGTTGGTGGGCGTCACGTGACCGAGTGGGGGAGTACATTGCGATGTAGATAGATGGAAAGGACTGGTGGAGTACATTCGTGTGTAATGTTAAAAAAGAAGCGTCATATTATTTGTCCGGAATTCAGAATTAAATAGTAGATGAAAAACGTTGCATTGAAGAACAGCCCACGGACCAGATCATGAGCACGATTTGGGGGTGACAATGCAGTATTCAACTAGGTTGTAAAACTGCATAAAGACAAGCAAGCAGCCAATATCGGTTAGTTGAAAAACAAAAACTGCAGAAAAGAAAATGAGATAATTGTCGAGAGAAAAAATTCATAACTTATTACGTTAGAAAATAAAAAATTTTGAAGCGTGAATACAATACAATACAATACAATGGGGAAGAGTCAAAGACTTCTACGGGGCACGGAGAATGAGGAATAATCTGATCCATTTAAAGGGACCACGAGTAAACAGTTCCCAATAGGCAACTTTTATGCTTTGACAAAACAACATCAAGTGAATACACCGCAAAATAAAGAATACACCAAACGCACAACATACTACACTACATTACGCTGGCAATTCCATCGACTGTACAGCATTCTTTCCTAAGATGGACTAGCGCGACAAAATCGGGCAAATAGGAAATAACGAAACAACCAGAGTGGAAGAAAATTGGCTGAATAGACTAGTCAAGTGAGGAAATGGCCTAGACGTCATGATGATAACTCAGTAACAAAGGTGGAGTGAGGTGAGTTTGAAAACGATAGAGAATGTGCCAAGAGGATTACCGATTCAGTCACCCATACTCAGATTAGCTTTTTTGCATAGAGAAGAAAAGTGTGAAATATGAGCACAAATAGATGCATTCGTACCACGCTCAACGGTGATCATAAAAGAGATGGGGGAGGGGGGGGCAAAACCAAACTGTGAGAATCAAAGAAGGGATAATTTGAGGATCCCACATCGACCGGTTCCGGTCGTTGGATTCATTGCTTGGATGTGAAGACAATATTTAGTAACAGAGATCCCGAGTAGTACAAAGAGGCATTAGCAAATGGAATCGGTTTTATTTGCACTGTGGAATTGTACAAGGACATTGGCAGTAAGCGAGACCCCGCGAAATAATAAAAACGTTAGCCCTGTCATTTCTCGTGTTTTTTTAAATGATACCCACTACAGCTATATCACTGATGTGGATTCAAAATATCAAAACATGAATTTGACGGAGGACACCTGTGTAAAGACTGGAAAGAATCTCAACAATATATGATAGGAACAATCTGTGTCATGGACTCCACGGATCACTAGTAGCACAAAATTCGAGAACAAAAATCAGCTAGTGCTGAATCGGATTGATCACGCTGGTGGCTGAGGGTGAACCATTCAAACGAACAGCACGGACCTAGGAATCAATTATCTCAGCACCATATTATATAAATTCGTTTACGCTTCCATTGGCCTGTCTGAACCCCGTGAAAACGAGCGCACGCGATTTGTATCCACGTATCACTTCTATCTATCTCCTATGCCTCCGAAATCGCCCTCGATCCTTTTTAACCAATTCCTCCAACTCTCAGCGCGCACTAGGTCGGGTTCCTGCACCACTCCCTTGGTGCGTGCGTGTGTGCTTGTGTATTGTTGAAGGACAGAAAAAACGCTAAACGCATTCACCTTAAAATAGACCTACTGTGCGCTGTGATGTACTTTAACAAGCCGTACTCGTGCGAGTGGTAGTGGTAGTTGTTCTGGTTGTAAAGACAGCCCATTTTGTCAATTGGACGAACAAAGTATTACAGCGTCGACTGGTGTCAGACAGATGAAAACTGCTATGAGAAGCGATAAAAGGAGTGAAAGTAAAACGATTGAATTCGTGAGGAAGATTGAATCAATCTCCGGGTTTACAAAGTGAAAGGTGTGGAGTTACCGCTTGCCCATAATATATTATAGGTTTACATCCGGTTCGCATTCTTTATATACCACAACACTACCTCGCCAATGTTTCTGGTCCGATTGGATAACCAAAAGCTAGTAATCACTCACTTTTGGAAGCATAAAGTGAAATGTAAAAAGGTAAGCGAAAAGCTACTTGAGTTATCACTGAAAGTGACAATTCTAAGAAAATATATTTTCAGTTTGATTACCTCCCTGGGAAGGACGAAAGGACCATGACTTTCATACGCATTCACCATAACCGGAAAAAGATGAGATCGTCTTGTGCTCTCAAAATAGACACTCTCGACGTTTTATTCAACAAGGTGATTGGTGGTGATGGAATCAATCGAGCAATCAGTTCAGTTCGTACAACCACTAACCATGCACTTTCGTTTTGGTTGCTATCTTTCGGCTTCCCATTTGGATGAACATTAGGAGAAACACAGGAAAGGTTGAAAGTAGGATCGAAGAGAAAATTGAAAAGTTCAGTGGACAATGATATGGAGAAATTGAGAAGATGCACAAACGCCACTGTTTACGACATTCAGTCATATCACTGTGTCACTAACCATCGGATATAACCATTCCAAGGTCCCCGTCCAGGGAGCCTAACGGGACTCATGTTACCCAGTCTCTTGGTTAGGGCTTTCATACCCTCATACCAGGTCTTAGCTTGATCATCCTTGACGTTCTTCCACCCCCTACCAGCCTGGGCCAACATCGCTCGCTGTGGCAACCCATCTGGTGACATGCGTAACACATGCCCCAACCAACGTAATCTATGGAGGTCGACCATTTGCTCCAGTGGACGACGGTGACTGCCTAAAACTCTATGTCTAACCTCAACATTGCTAGTCCTATTACCCCACCAGATTCATGCAATGCTGCGTAGACAGCGATGTTCAAACACCCACAGTCTATCTTTATCTTGTTTTCGTAATGGCCAAGCTTCTGTTCCATATAGCAGAACTGGCCGATCTGCTGCAGCATACACTATTCGAGCAAATCACGATCAGAGTAAAGAGCGCGAAAATCTTAACTGACGAAATGGACCGATCATATAGTGTGAGGCTTCCATTAAACGAATGGTGATACTTGGTGGTATCACCAAGTATCACGGATAATGACGCTTGCATGTCTCTAGTCACTAACATACTCTTTATTGCCCTCTGACCGAAATCAAGCATGCGGTCTGACATTACAGAATTTCCATTAATCAACACGCGAATGGTGATTGAGGCCATAGAATTAAGATAACGGCAAAGTAATCAAAGTGCTGCGTCAAACACCGAAAACCAATTTACAAAAGCAGCAGAACTAAATTCGATCGCCATCTATTAGATCCATATATTCGAACTACGCCAAAACTATTACGTAGTTCGGGTTAGCACATCAGGCTTCAATTTTTCGATCACATACTTCTCTGTAACAGACGGCAGATGTAAACTCCATAATCTATATGGTGATGATAAATGGAATTCCTTTCCCGAGGAACTTGGGATGATGAATCATAAAATAATCAATAGACAGTGTGGAATTGAGTTAAACACCAGCAAAGTGGTCTATCCTCAATTTGGGGGTGAAGGTACTACCGTAAAGTGACCGGGATATCACCACCCAATCAAAAGTCCAACAAACTAGATATCAACGAGCGCTCAATAGGCAATAAGTGCCGAATCCAACTCCACAAGCTCAAGGCTTTCGTACTCGATCTTGGAGAGCGAGCACAAATAAACCACATAATAATAACTCACCCGATTACTCACGTAACTGCTATTACTACTGTCCCCGTAGGCATAAGTATATTCCGTGCTTTCCGTCGGACCGTGGCGTTGTGACGGCCAAACACTTCGAACTTTTGAGTCCACGGTGCCGGAAGACTGACTGGAGCGATGTTGTCCTGTGGGATGGTATGGAAGTCGATGCTGTTGACCAGGATAGTATGG